TGTGATTTTCCCCACTAATACTTAAGCTTAAAATACATGCTAACCACAGGACAAGTCCTTCTTTTGAGTGATTTCCCTTCTTTTTCTAACTTGAAGGACATTTGTGTACAGGAGTGAAACTCCTTGGGCCTGAGCTGTTGCTTTCTAGGTGTAAAATTATTCCTGACTAGCTCAAGAAGACACAGACGATACATTCATGGATCCTGCTTTTGACTTGTTTGCTAGTGAGCGAACCTGGGTCCCTGCCCTCTTGTGCAGAGGATCAGGGTCTAGAGGGGAGATCTTGCTTAGACAAGAAGCAGAATGAGTTGGTCCTTCTTTGAGTTGACACTGGAAATTTGGCAGGTCAAGGCTGCAAAAGATAGAAAAATTACCTGTATTGAAGAGATGGCAGAGAGTCCCTGGCTTAATGAGAGTTAATGGTTAAGCACTTGACTGCTAAAAGGTTAGAGGCTCAAGTCCACACAAAGGCACTTCAGAAGCAATGCCTGGCAATCTACTTCCAAAATATAAGCCACTGAAAACCCTGTGAATCCCAGTTCTACTCTGACACACATGACTCACTATGAATGAAAGTTGACTGGATGGCAGCTGAGCAGAAATGATGGGGGTGGAGACGTGGGCAGTCTCTCTGGGAGCAGAGGGAAGGCTGCCTGCCCTTCAAGTGGTCCTCAGGCTCATCTGACTCCGGCAGTGCTAGGCAAATTGTTCATTTTTAGGGAAGTTGTAACATGTGGCTGATTTCTTCTCCAAGTTACTCTTGTACATTTCATTTATAGCAAGCAAATAAATGTGTTCTATTTGCAGAGCTCTTAGAACAGTATCTAACATATGATGTAAATACTATAAAACTATTTATTAAATAAATAGAAATAAAGTAATATTCTGTTTCTGATACCTACACAAAGTATGTTAGGGATTCCACTTAGATTTAGCCAGTCAAATACCAGTTTTAAGTGGTTACCAGGAATGGGCAGAAAGGAGGAGAAAAAGAGGGGATCCTTGTCACCGAATTGAAGTTGTGAAGGAAGTTGAAATGGCAAATGTTTGTTACATACATGTTTGTTGTTAAGTGCTGTCGACTCGATTCTGACTCACGTGATTTTCTGTACAGTGTTTCCGAGGAGTAGCTGGTGGGTTTGAACTACCAACCTTGTGGTTCACAGTCTAGTACTTATCTTACAGCACCACACTAAGTGTGTTCTTATATCTTTTGACCCTTAGCCTTCTTTAACGTCAACTGACAGTGGTTGTTAAGTTCCATCGAGTCAGTTTCAACTGATAGCAACGCTCTATAGGGTTTCCAAGACTGTAAATCTTTATGGAGTAGAAGGCCTCATCTTTCTCCCATGTAGCAGCTGGCAGATTCTAACTGCTGACCTGGAGGTTAGCAGCCCAATTTGTAACCCACTACACTGTCAGAGGAGTCCTGGTGTGGCACTGTGGGTTAATGCGCCAGACTGCAAAGCCATTTGAACTGCAAGATGGTTGGGTCAAGCTCACTAGCTGCTCCTCAAAAACCCTATACAGGGTTGCTATGGGTCAGAACTGACTCGACGACACTTAACAACAACAACAACAACACTGCCAGAGCTCCTTAGCATCAACTACTTGGCATTATTATTGGGTGTTTTCCATGTGTTAGCATTGCCCATACCACAGCAGCTCGTACTTCCACGGTCTCTTCAGATTGAAGTCAGATGTTCCCTGGGGAAAGTGGCCCAACTGTCAGGCTCTCTGCATTACCTTTCTTTTATGTTAACTGATGCTTTTCTGAACGTTCAAACTTTGTTTTCATCCAGCTTTGTCAGTTGTCTTTAGTGGTGGGTTGGTTCAGTATACCTTCTGCTAGGACTGGTGCTGGTGGGTATGTGCCGTGGAGTCGGTTCTGACTCATAGCGACCCTGTACAGGGTTTCTGAGGCTGTAAATCTTTATGGGAGCAGAAAACCTCATCTTTCTCCCATGGAATGGCTTGTAGTTTCGAACTGCTGACCTTGAGTTTCGCAGCCCGATTTGTAACCACAATGATTGTTGTTTTTGTTGTTGTGTGTCGTGGAGTCGGTTCCGACTCATAGCGACCCTGTACAGGGTTTCTGAGGCTGTAAATCTTTACGGGAGCAGAAAGCCTCATCTTTTTCCCACAGAACAGCTGGTAGTTTTGAACTACTGACCTTAAGTCTCGCAGCTTGATTCGTAACCACTACATTACCAGAACTCCTTTCTGCTATAACTAGGAACGGGAATTCTAGTCTAGGTGTTTTAGGTAGTTTAACTCATGTAAACCTCCTGAGTCAAAGGCCATCCCGCACTGAATGTGTTCAATCTCATCTGATCTCAAAAGCTAAGCAGGTTGGACCTAGTATTTGGATGAGAGACCACATGAGAATACTAGGTGCTGTAGACTTTTAGAAGTCCTGGTGTTGCACTGTGGGATAATGTGCTGGACTGCAAGGTCAATTTGAGCCTAAAGGTGGTGGTTCAAACTCGCCAGCTACTCCTAGGAAACCCTATGCAGGGTTGCTATAGTCAGAACTGATTTGATGGCAATTAACAAAACCAAAAAATCCTCATGAGAACCTATAAAGGTAAGTACTGAGATTTTCTTTGCAGGTGAGGGAAATCAGGTACAGAGCATTTATGTTCCCAGCCAACAGTCATAATTAATTAATGAAACCTGAACATGAACCCAAGTGGTCTGGTTTTGGAGCTTGTCCTCCTATTAATTAACCCCTGATTTCCTTCTTCTAAAGGCAGTAAAGCTGCTTCATCATCAAAAGACCTCTTTTAAAAGGTTAAACAAGTCTACACCTGAATATGCTTCCCTTCCAACCTAGGGTTGTTGTTGTTATTAAGTGCCATCAAGTCGGTTCCAACCCATAGCGACCCTGTATAGGATTACCTAAGAGCAGCTGGTAAGTTTGAACTGCAGATCTTGTGGTTCAAAACTGACTTTTCAGTCCAGCACATTAATCCACAGGGCCACACCAGGACTCCAATCTAGGGTACCTAGGGAGAATTTAGTGTGGCTCTGCAGGATAATGCGCTGGATCACAAGGTCAGTTTGAGCCACAAGGTCAGCAGTTCAAATCCACCAGCCACTCCTCAGAAACCCTATGGTGGTGGTGGTGTGCTGTGGACTCGGTTCCTACTCATAGCAACCCTGCATAGCAGAAAACTTATCTTTCTTCTGTGGAACAGCTGGAAGTTTTGAACTGCTGACCTTGAGGTTAGCAGCCCAACTTATAACCACTACGTACCAGAGCTCCTCAGAAACCCTATGCAGGGTCACTATGAGTCAGAAACAACTAGACAGCACTTATCAACAGTGACAACAAATATAATCTGGAATTCCTGGGTGATACAATTGCTGATGTTTGATGGATCTTGGCTGAAAGCAGAGAATATTAGAAAGATGTTTACCTATGCTTTATTGACTACGCATAGGCTTTTGATTGTGTGGATCATGACAAGCTATGGACAACATTACAAAGTATGAGTATTCCGGAACACTTAATTGTGCTCATGAGGAATCTGTACCTGGACCAAAAAGCAGTTGTTCAAACAGAACATGGGAACACTGAATGTTTTAAAATTAAAAAAGGTGTGTGACAAGGCTGTATTCTTTCACCATACTTACTCAAATTGTATGCTGAGCAAATAATCCAAGAAGCTGGGTTATATGAAAAAAGCGTGGCATCAGGATTGGAGGAAGACTCATTAACAACCTGCGATACGCAGATGATACAACCTTGCTTGCTGAAAGTGAAGAGGACATAAAACATTTACTGATGAAGATCAAAGAGCACAGCCTTCGATATGGATTACATCTCAATATAAAGAAAACAAAAATCCTCACCACTGGACCCATAAACAACATTCGTGTCAACAGAAAAAAGATTAAAGTTGTCAAGGACTTCATTCTTCTTGGATCAACTATCAACACTCATGGAAGCAGCGGTCAAGAAATCAAACGACATATTGCATTAGGCAAATCTGCTGCACAAGACCTTTTTAAAGTGTTGAAGAGCAAAGATGTCAGCTTGAGGACTAAAGTGCGCCTGACTCAAGCCATGACATTTTCAATAGCCTCAGTTGCATGCGAAAGCTGGACAGTGAATAAGGAAGACCGTAGAAGACTTGATGCCTTTGAGTTATGGTGTTGGAGGAGAATATTGAACGTGCTGTGGGCTGCCAAAAGAACCAACAGATCAGTTTTGGAAGAAGTGCAGCTCCTTGGAGGCCAAGATGGTCAAACTTCATCTCTCATACTTTGGACATATTGTCAGGAGGGACCAGTCGCTGGAGAAGGATATCATGTTTGGTAAGGTGGAGGGTCAGAGAAAAAGAGGAAGACCCCCAATGACATGGATTGGCCAAGTGGCAGCATCAATGGACTCGAGTGTGACAACAGTAGTGAAGTTAGCCCAGGATTGGTCAGTGTTTTGTTCTGCTGTGCATAAAGTTGCTATGGGTTGGCAGAGACTCGATGGTACCTAACAACAACAACAACAAATGGTTAACACATTCAAAAGGTTAGAAGGTCAAGTCCACCCAAGGACACTGCTGAAGAAAAGCCTGGCTATCTTGCTTGCTAAACATCAGCTATTGAATACCTTATGGGCATGCTTCTACAAAGGGTTGCCGTAAGTTGCAGTCGACTTGATGGCACCTGGTTTTTTAAGTGTATTCTACATATTTTTTAATGTTCACCTAACATGCCATTGTGTAGATATTTGTGAGTATTACCAATTAAATTGTTCCCAGTTAATGTAGACTTAGATGTTTATATCTTCATGAATGGGTCAATGTTTGAGGGAGAGAAATTTCTTTGAATTATTCCAGAATTGTGTGTGTTGTTTCATTCCCTTCTGAGCAGATGTGTCTCTTCATCATGTCCAAACTCATTTGTTTTTATTATTTTTTCATAAAGAAAGCTCTGGACTGTGCTGCCTTTGATGAGACTAAAGGCCTTACATATGTTCCAATTTCTTTTGACAGAGAAAAAGACAAGCATATGAGTCTAATCTCATTTGTGATGGCCTGCAACTAGAAGCAACAAGATCAGTAAGTATTGCCCCCCTTGATTACTTGGCTGACCATTGCTCTGTGGAACCTGCCACCACTTGGAATGCTGAATGGTATTCAAAGCATGCAACCTGGCCACACCTTAGCCCTAACCCTGGGAGGGGATAGCTATTAAAATCTGCATTACAGAATGTGTATTTGATTCTGACTAAAGCCAGCAGATCTATAATGCAATAATAAATGCATGTCTGAAAGACTATACAAGGCGCTCTGGTAGCATAACGGGTTACCAGTTGGGCTGCTAACCTCAAGGTCAGCTGTTGGAATCTACTAGCCATTCTGAGGGAGAAAGATGATACTTTCTGCTCCCGTAAAGATTTGCAGCCTTGGAAACCCTATGCAGGGTCACTATGAGTTGGTATCTACTCCATGGCATATAACCACAACCACCTAAAGATTATGCTTCTTAGGAGCTTTTAAACTTTCTTTTATGTATTATATAAGTAATATTAAATATTAGAAAATGTAAGAATAATGAAAATCCTCTGCATTTCAGTTCTCTAGAATAACCTAGTACTTCTTGCAAACTTTTCTTTCCTCAAACATATACATTTTTCTCTTTCAAAAAGTAGAATTATTATTTCACAGCTTTCTGATTTGGTTTTTTTACTTTATTATGAGGTAAATCTATTTCTATATCAATAAGTATCATTCTTCTATGTCTTTTCTATGACCACATGACATGCTAGTGAAGCTATAACAATAAGTTAAGCAGTCCTTTTCGACATTTACAAAAGTAAAAACTTATTAAACTATACAGCAGCACAAGGAAAGTCCTAATGCTTTTATTTTCAGTCCCTAATTCGGATGTGGAGTTGTGGTATAGACTCTGTGGTTAAATGCACTGGACTGCAAAGTAGGTTTGAACCACAACGTCTACAGTTCAAGCTCACCAGTCACTCCTGGAAACCCAATACAGGGTTGCTATGGGTCAGAACCGACTTGATGGCACTTAACAAATAACAATTTGGATGCAATGCTGAGCAAGCTAACAATTTTGGTTTTCTTCAATTAAAATATTAATAGGTTCATCAAAGACCTGTAACAAGGATTTGAATTTCTTTCTCAGTGACTCAAACCAAGAAATTCTCTTTAAGATAACAATTTATGATGCTTTGCAAATCTAACATTACTAAAGTTTCACTTTTATCTGTGTTGTGTCTGAATGTATGCATCTTTCTCCTTTTATAACTACCACCAGCATAAGAAAACCCTGTGTGTTTCACAAATGTAGGGAAATTAGTTGGTATGGTTTCCAGGTTTGTTTCTACTCTTTCACTATAGGTTTTGGATGACAAGCTTGTATTTGTAAAAGTACATGCACCTTGGGAGGTGTTATGTACATATGCTGAGTTAATGCACATCAAACTGCCTCTGAAACCCAATGATCTGAAAAGTCAGTTCTCAGCCTTTGATGGTTTAAACTGGTTTACCAAAGTCCTCAAAGTGGATGAAACTCTCATCAAGCCCGAACAAGAGTTTTTCACTGCCCCGTTTGAGAAGGACCGGATGAGTGACTTTTACATTCTTGATAAAGATACCTTCTTCAATCCAGCCACGAGAAGCCGCATTGTAAGTCTAAACCCAAATTAGTTGCTTGTCTTGGGGTGATTTGGAAGCTGCTGTTGAATAATTAGTGGTTTTGTTTGGTTGGTTTATTTTTGTTTTTAAAAGCGGGGGATGGGGGGGAAGGATGCCTACTTTACTGTTACAATTGTAAACAACGAATGGTAGTAATTATACTATCTAAACCATATACTCTCTATGTTGGAATCTTTGTAGGTTTATTTCATCCTCTCTCGGGTCAAATATCAAGAAGACGTCAATGTTAACAAGTTTGGGATTAACAAACTTGTAAACTCTGGCATCTACAAAGCAGCTTTCCCTCTCCATGATGTAAGTCAAATGTCAAAAATGCAATACAATGCCAAGTGTATGCTTCGGTGTTGACAGTAATGAGCCACTACCATCTTTGACCTTACATTTCCTTCTTCCTAAAATAAAGATGACATACTACAAGATTATAAGCTCCTTCAGGGCCATTTGCCTCTGTAAAGATTTACCTCTTGGAAATTCTGTCTAGGGTTGCTATGAGTTGGGATCCATTCGATGGCAGTGTTTTTGGTTTCGTGCTCAGTTTAAAGGAGAATAAATGAATAGATGGATAGATGGATGATTAAATGAATGAATATTATCTCTCCCACACCTAATTATGAAGCAGTCGAGATTAGTATTTAAGAGTATAGACTCTGGAGTACCTGCTCCACCACTGTCTGGTGAGGTGACTGCGAAAATAGTTAGCCCATGTACTCTTCAGTGTTTTCATCAGTGAAACGCATACAATAATAGTGCTTAACTCATAGAGTAGTTATGAGAATATATAGTATAGTGGGTTACCCATTGAGCTGCTAACCACAAGGTCAGCAGTTCAAATCTGCCAGCCACTCCCTGGGATAAAGATGAGGCTTCTGTTCCTGTAAAGATTTATAGCCTTAGAAACCCTATCCAGGGCCACCATGAGTTGGAACTGACTCGATGGCACACAACTACCATGACCATCATAGAGTTAGAACCGTCCCTAGCATGTAATAAGTACTATTCAAACTAGGTTAAGTACAGGGCCAATGGAGTGCAGGCACTATTCAATAAGATGGATGGACACAGTAGCCATCACAGTGGGTTTCCCCATACCAGTCATCAGGCAACCTTTCCTTCCTATAAACAAAGTCGCCATTAGTCAGGGCTGAGTCCGCAGCAGCTAACAATGACAATGACAACATATTAGCTGCTTTCATAATTCATAATTTCATGACAGATGTTACAAGCAACTAAAAAGTATTTGTTCTTCATATGCAAAATGCATGTTTTGTTGTTGTTAAGTGCCATCGAACCATAGCAACCCTGTAGTTTCCAAGGAGTGGCTGGTGGGTTTAAACCACCAATCTTGCCATTCATACTGACCTTGTGGTTCACTGCTTTATCCTACAGCACGGCACCAGGACTCCAAGGTACATGTTAGATCTTTTTATTTATCATTTTAACGTAGACTTTTTCCTCTTAAAATACAATTTTCAAACTCTACCCTGGGATATCCCAGGGAATTATTAAAGACAACTGTCAGGGTTCTTGTCACAATGGGCAGACAGAGAATCCTGGACATTTTTAAGAGGTATATTCTGAGAATTTAACAGGGTCTTAAATTCAAGAGGACTTCTGCTCCCATGCAACGAAACTTCAAAACTGTGACCACCTCAGACCCGTAAGGATTCCATAAATGGAAGAACATTATACCCAAAGCAATTTGGAGAAATATGTCAGAAATAAATTAAAGGCTACATTGTATTATTTTGTCACATTCACCAAGACCAAAGTAGCAAAGGCTATGACCGATAATTGCTACTGTATACAGTACATGTGTTTGTGGAGGAAGATAACATTTAAATGTGCCATAGAAGATAATATAAAATTAGAAACTCCTTCAGGAAACAGCTTGGCAGAGAACCAGGAAGCTGGGTGAGGAAGCAGAGGCTGAATTTATGGCTATGAGACCTAGCATGCAGTCCGGCCTGATAGTCTATGTGTTCTAAATTTGTATCCCAGCAGAATTACTGATTACAACATAGCATGAACTGTGGGAATATTTGCATATCATTGTCATGAACAGTAATCTGAATTGCTATGGGTCTGCAGTATTTAGTTGATTCTGCCCATACCCAAGCCTTTTCCACTAAAGCTCCCTTATAATTTGAGTGGTCCCCTATCTATTCTAGGGAATGATCCTGTGTGGTATTTGGAGGGAGGCAAGTGGAGCTCAGGCCCATTCTAAGGTTGATTACTGTTACTGTTTGGTGTCATCGAAATCAATTTTAGACTCACGGAGACCCCATGTGTCAGAGTAGAACTGCCCCAGAGGGTTTTTCTAGGCTGTGATCTTCATGGGAATAGAGTAGCTAGTGAACCGCTGACCTATAGCTCAGTAAGTCAGCCATAGATCTCCTTCTTCTAAGACTTGGCAAAGTGGTAATCTGATGTTTGTATAGGAAGAAGGAAAAAGGAATCAATGGGGAACATGAGTAACTGGATTTAAGCAGAGGTGGGAGGTTATAATAGTTTGTTTCTGAATAAGCTATATGTATAACATGCTGAGCTTCTCTGTTTCTACGTACTATCACAAAATAATTGCTGAATTGGGGGACAAAGAAATCTGGGTTTAGAATTGACCCACCACTAACTGGTCAAGACCCTGGTTCCCCCAGGTTTCCAAAAAAGGACTAGACTTTCACATGTTCCTCCAGCATGATGATTTTGGCACTTAGGCAGCCCAGTGCTTTATAATTTAGGACTGGGCCACTTGTTGTAGGGGTTTAAGCATCCCTTGGGTACCCACCAAGTACCTGCAGTGCCCCCAGGTTGTGGTCCTCACCCACATTTACAGATTGCCTCAACAGGGGTGGTGGTACCCCTGGTTCACAATCACTAACTCAGCATGCTTTCATCCCTTCCACCCAATAAGGATCTCTTATTCACAAATGACTGTGAAATATTAGTATCAGCAAGTCCCAACGTAAACATAGATGTAATCAACAGATTTGTGACAATGTGATGATTTTGATGCTCACCTGGTTCTTTCTGCTTCTCAGTGCCAATTTGGCCACCAGTCAGAGGATCCAAGCTGCCCTAGTGAACGTTACCTTCTGTACAGGGAATGGGCTCATCCTCGAAGCATCTACAAAAAGCAGCCTTTAGACCTTATCAGGTGAGTTGTTACAGAGAGCACTCCAGTAGGAAGCAGGAGAAACATCCTCACATGATCATGCTTGTGAACAACTGAGGAGTCCAAGCCCTAGTGTCAGGCTACAGAGTCAGGTGCCCAAAGGTCAGAGTCCATACCTTTGGGCAGACAGTGCTGAGCTATAGGACACCTTCCTCCTGGCTTCAGACCTCTTAATTCTCAGAAATAATGGATCAGAATGTGACCCTAAGAGGCTGTCTCTAAGAACATGGTAGAACTTGAGCAAATACAGCCTCCAAGCCTTTCCAGGAAGCTTTGAAGGATCAAGAATAAAGAAAAAGAACCCATTTAGTACCAGCCTGCATGCTGGTAGTTTGTATTTTAAAATTAATATGCTAGCCTTGCTATTTTTACATGAATAATACAGCTTTATAAGAAAGCTATAACCTTTGATTATGCTCCCAATTTTAAGAGATTTGGTAAAATCTTTTAATAGTAGCATTAAAACAGTTATTGCTGAGTTAATGGGTAAAATAAACTTTCCATGACAAACAGAGTTCATGTCTTTGAACATGTATAGATTTCTACTTTAAACATTTTTAGCAAGTGTAACATCCTGGAATTATTTCATTCTCATGAAAAGGTTATACATTGACAGATTTTAGAACTATTATAACTAATTTGTTAAGATTATATGTAAGTATTTGTCATATTTCATTGTTTTAAGTAGAAACTCACCTTTGTAATGACAAGATACAGAGTAAATGTAGACTGTGGAGTAAATTATTTACAGATTCTGCATTTGTAAATTTGCCTACTCTTATAAGCCCCAAATCAGTAATTACTAGTCGCATCACTTTTGTGGTCATTTGTAAATGTGCACACGCGCAGAACAGTGTAAGATCTGAGTCACTTGAGATTGAGGTTGAGCAGGTGATGCTCTCTCCCTTCTGGTTTCAGCAGTCCTCCGGTAAACAGATGATCTTTATGCAGGCAATACCTGTGGTTTTCCTACTGTTGTGCTTTTTTGTTAGTGATTCCACGGTTTAATACGGCTCCAAGCATAATGCTGCTGCACAAACCAGTGTTCTTAAGTGTGATGTGCTTTACAAAACAAATATGTGTGGGGAAGCTTCATTCTGAGTCTTGGTGTGGCACTGTGGGTTAATACACTGGGCTGCAAAGTCGGTTTGAACCGCAAGATCTGTGGTTCAAGCTCAGAAGATGCTCCTCGAAACCCCATACAGGGTCACTATGAGTCAGAACTGACTCAGTGGCACTTAACAACAACAACAAGCATCTTTAAGGCATGAGTTAAGTGCTACTGACCATGTTGTTGTTGTTGTTGTTGAGTGCCGTCGAGTCAGTTCCGACCCATAGCGACCCTGTACAGGGTTTCCGAGGGTGTAAATCCTTACGGGAGTAGAAAGCCTCATCTTTCTCCCGCGGAGCGGCTGGTAGTTTCGAACCACTGACCTTAAGGCTCGCAGCCCGATTCGTAACCACTACGCTACCAGAGCTCCTTCATGACCATGAGTTGAGTGTTAATGAATCAATAACATATACGAAATAGGGTCTGTTTAAATACACACACATAAAACAAGCTTATATAGCAATCAATTGATGAAATTGTGTAGAGATGCACACAGGAGCCTAACCCTGCCATTTCCCTTGGTACAGTGGTTAAGTAGTCACAGCCACTTTATAGAACATGACTGCCGGGAACAAGGAGACTCAGCTGTATGTAAATGTTCACTCTCCTTCATCTATCTAATGAGGTATAATGACTAGCTCAGGGTTTGTCTTCTCAAAGAACTGATGTCAGCCACTCTCCAAGTGCCTACATTGTTTGAGCAAGGCTGGTATTATGTGCTAGGGAAAATGTGAGCCTCAAAACAAACAAAAATAAACAAAAATGGAGAAAACAAGAGAATGATGGGATGGGAAAAGAGAAGCCAAGAAGATTAACTTTGAGGATGTGAAAGGAGAATTGAGGCCCGAAGAGTGTAAAGGAGCCAGTAATTTGAGGATTTGAGAGAAGCTGTTCCAAGGATAGGGACAAGGACAGCTTTTACAATGGCCCTGAGGCACAAATATACTTGGCAAGTTTGAGGAAATACCTTAAGACCAGTACCAGTGAGAAGGAGAATGGTAAGACGTGAAGTTAGAGAGGTAGCAGGACCCTGGTAAGGAATTCATATTTTACCGTAATTGCAATGAAAAGCATCTTAGTTACCTAGTGCTGCCACACACACACACACAAAATACCACAAGTGGGTGACTTTAAATAACAGACATTTATTTTCTCACAGTTCTGAAATTGAACCTTCCAAATCAAAGACTTGGCCATGTGGGCCTCTCTCTTAGGTTCTGGTGTCTGCAGACAATCCTTGGCGTTCCTTTGCTTGTAGGTACAGCCTCGTGTGGCGTGTGTCTCTTCACTTTGTGTCTCTGTATCTGTTTTGCTCTTTTTATAAGACGCTACTCAGAATTGATTAGGCAGCATAGTAGTTACAAGTCAGGCTGCTAACCTGAAGGTCAACAGTTCGAAACTACTAGCCATTCAGAGGGAGAAAGATAAGGCTTTCTGCTCCCATGAGGATTTACAGCCTCGGAAACCCTATGCAGGGTCACTATGAGTCGGAACCGATTCCACGGCACATAACCACCACTCAGAATTCGTTAGGTTCGCTGTTAAGTGCTGTCAAGTCCCTTGTGACTCATAGTGACCCTGTATAGGTTTTTCGAGGAGCCACTGGTGAGTTTGAATTGCCAACCTTGCTGTTCAAACCAACTTTGTAGTTCAGTGCTTATCCAACATCACCACACCTATTCTGGTAATGGTTTCATTAACTTGACAAAAGAAAAACCCCGATTTCCAAACAGGTACATATCACAGATGCAGGGTTTTGGGCTTCTGCATTTCTTTGGAGGCACAATTCTCTCTATTCCAAGGAGCAATTATAATATTTTAAGTACATCAATAATTTTATCTCATTCATATTTGCAAAGATAATGTGGAAAATGGATTGTAGGTTGTACAGGAAGAAAGGAAACCAGGTGAAAGCTGTTTGATCCAGGTGAGAGATTGTGGGCACAAAAGACTTGGGATACCTTTTGGAAGTAAACTCAACAGGGCTTGGCTTGGACTGGAATTGGAGGGTGAGGAGAATCCAGTTATCCTCAAGTCTGGCTGGCGACAAGTACCTGTCTTACCACCCTCTGCAGGTCCCTATTTAGTAAAACCTCTTGGCCCGAATAGTGAGAACTTTTGAACACTTTATAGTTTTGTTTTATAAAACAAAGATGGGAAATTGTGAACAGAATAGTACAGTGAGCCTGCACAGCTCTGTGTTGTTCGGTTCCAAAAATGACCAACTCATAGTCAAACTTGCTTCATTTCAAATTCCACCCACTTCCCTGGATCATTTTGAAGCCGACCCCAAATGGCATATCTTCTCATTATAATGAATTTCGAAATGATAAGGTTTGGTTTACACATAATCAGAATACCTTTAAAGAAACACAATAAACCAGTAAGTCATTAATTCAAATAATCAGTGCTCAGATTTCCCTGATTGTCTCAGAAATGTTTATTTTGTAAATTTTTTTTGTTACAATCAGGATCTAAACAAGGTCCAGATGTTACAAATAATGTGCTTCTCAAATTTCTCCTAATAACTTTCCTTCACCTCTTTTTTGTTTCCCTTACAGTTGTTTAAGAGATGCCCCATTCTCTATTTTGTTGATTTCAGTCTTTCCTGTGTTGTTGAACACATTCTCTGTCCTGTGTATCCACTTTAAATAAGTAATTTCATCCCTATCTAGGGACTTGATCAGATTTAGATTTGATTTTGTGACAAGACTATATTTGGAGTCTCTGGGTTATGATCTAACCCCTACTTTCCATTTAATGTTACATAAATATACCCTCCCTTTGAAACATTGGGAGCCTGGTGACACTGTGTTTAAAACGTTCGACTGTGAACTGAAAGGTTGGTGGTTCGAACTTACAAGTCACTCTGCAGGAGAAAGCTGTGGCCGTCTGCTTCCTTAAAGATTTCAGCCTCGGAAACCCACCCTCTGGGGCAGTTCTCCTCTGACCTGCTGGGTCCCTCTGAGTCAGGATCCACTCTGTGACTGTGGGTTGAAGTGATTTAACCAAGCCCTATTTGCAACAAATTCTTCTTTAAAATCACCTTCACTTGCTGCAAGTGCAGCTTTTAAATCATTGAAAAGGCTCCAGCTAAATAAGAGTCATATATACACCTCGTCTAACTTAGTACGAATTCTTAAAGACATGGAATGGCTCTCGTTTATAACTCAAGGACTACCTGTACTGCCTATATTAGGTGGTTATGTTAAGTATTGTTGTTGTTGTTGTTGAGTGCTGTTGAGTTGGTTCCAACTAATAGCAAAACTCTGCAAAAGCCAGCACCTGTGTAAGGTGGCATCCTGTTAGGGATGGATGAATTTTCTGTACCCTATCACGAGTAGAACACTTGTGAGAGCTGGAAGAACAAGGCAGTCTCTTGGAGTTTTGGCTCTTAGAGACTTCACTGGATCTGACGTCTTCTCTCTTAAAATGATAGCAGTCATTGACGAACGAACATTGCTTAGATTCATTCTTTCATCTTCATTTATATCTTTAATCTTCATTTATCAGTTAGATTAATTTCATAAAGAGACACTTTCATTAACTCTTTAAGAATCCTGTAGAAAAATATTTAAAAGTAGAAAGTTTATACTTTTAAGTATCTGAGGTTAACACTCATGTTCAGTTTTTCATTGATGTCCTTTTATGGTAAACCAATAGCATAAGATGGCAGAATGATACATTTCCTTGATTCTTAATGATTCTTGGTAAAGAAAGTAATTGTCTACCATTTTAAGGATATTTTGCTCATTGTTTTCCTGTTTAGAACTGCAAACTGACTCTGGTCCTCCTGTTTCTTTCCTACATTGCCTTCCACTTGTGCCCCCTTGAGTACCCATCTTTTTATGCCTCAATCTGTGATTCCCTTGGCATACTAGCAGGGAACATTAGCTCTTTCCAAAAATCAAGCCAAGCAAAAAAAAAAAAAAAAGTCAACTTGAAAGAAACAGACATTACACGAGAAAAAAGAAAACTCTCCCCCACAAACCTCTCCTTATTATTCATAAGGTTACAGAAAAAAGTAACCGTGTCCATAAGACAAGGATAGGGTTATAGTTAAGAAAATGATCATTCTAAGAATGAAACAGAGCTTTTGAAAATTAAAAATTTAATAGCACAAATATATCTAATGGAAATATTGTAAAACAAAACTGAAGAAATTATGCAGAATATAGGGGAAAAGATAAAATGATAGAAAACGAAAGGAGGGAAGGATAAGAAAAATTATAAGAGCCATCCATACCCAAATAGCAAAGCCATAGTAACATGAAAATGAACATACTTTGTTTCTCATCTCCTGATGCCACCCTGCCCCCAGCCCTTCCTTCCCTGTTAATGTGGCCTAAGCCCATGGACCTACTGTGTTAACCCTACAACCTCTGGTCTAGCTAAAATTTGAAGCCTCCGAGGACACTAGGTTTTGAACAAATAATGTTGCTGTTAAGTGCTGTTGAGTTGGTTCCCCCTCATAGTAACCCTGTACAGGGTTTCCAAGGAGTGGTTGGTGAGTTTGAACCACCGACCTTGCAGTTAGAATAGACCGTGAGGTCCAGTGCTTATCCTAAAGTGCCACACAAATAATGTTGTTGTTAAGTGCTACCAGGTCAGTTCTGACTCAGCCACCCTGTATAGAGTTTCCAAGGAGTGGCTGGTGGGTTTGAACCACCATCCTTGTGGTTAGCAGTTCAGTGCTGACCCTACAGCACCATACCAGGACTCCACACAAATAATTGTTGTTGTTAAGTGCCGTAGAGTCGGTTTCAACTCAACAGCGACCGATATAGGGTTTCCAAGGAGCTGCTGGTGAGCTTGAACCATGCAAAAAAAGTAGAGAGGAAATCATAGAAATATTTCAAGCCAATTTCTCAGAAGTAAACAATGAGTTTCCAAATGGAAGCTGCCTACTGAAAGCTCAACATAATGGATAAAATTAGAGACATCAAGTCACTGCAACATAAAATCTCAGAACACTGCAGAGAAAGAAAACATCCTGTGAGCCTCTAGAGAGCAAAATCAGACTTCAGATGAAGGATCAAGACTTAGAATGGTGGTGAACTTCTCAGCAACACTGCAAGCTAAAAGAAAAGAGGAATAACTGACGTTCTGAGGAAAAAGTGATTTTTCAGCTTAGAATTCTGTACATGGCCAAACTGTTAATTAGTGTGAGAATGGAATTTTCACAATTTAAATGTGCAAGGTAATGGAGGAGGTGCTCTGCCAAGAAAGAGGAAGACATGAGATTTAAGAAACAACACAAGACGGGCAAGGTGATCGCAGAGCCATGGCTCTGTAGCAGGGCTAGAGAGTTGTTGATTCAGATTGGAAGAGCTCTGAAGGAATTTGATGAAGGAGACCATCTTGATCGAACATCTCATGTGTTTAAACATGTGGAGAGAATTACACAGCTGTGGGAGTCTGTGTTCAATAAGTGATAAGCATCCAGAAGCCCAAGCAGTGAACAAACAAAACAATTACCAACTACAATGGAAAGCAAAACATTGGCCAGTAAATTATAGCCGATGACTTGATTCAGCTGTGAATAGTGTTTACAGTATCTACATAATGTAGAGCAGGCATATTGATCTCACCAAAATTCTAAGGTTATTATGTTGTAAGGATAGAGGAATGGAGGTAGGGATGTGTAGGAAGCCGGGCATTGAAAGACAGCTTAATCCTCGTCTTACAGAGTAGGAAGTCAATAAATGATGCATACAACTGAAAATTCACTAAGCAACATCGCAAGCATCTTATTTAGAGAGATGCAGGTGATTAATCAAAGAATCAACTAAAACAGTTAAAAATAGTGCCTCTGGGATTGAGGAGGTGGTGGGGGACTGCTCCCTTTTATAATCAGCCTTCTGGGACTATTGAGTATTTGACTCTTTAATAAATGTATATATAAAACCTTGATTTAAAAAAAAAAAATTCAAAGCTGAATTTTTAAGAAGTGATGTTAGGAGTTGAAATGCTTTTGGCAGCTGAAGGCACTGACTATAGAATATTGCATTTGAAAGGATCTTCATTATTCCCAGCCTTTCAGCAAGAACTCGGAGATGGCTTTCTGTGTAAGCTTTAAAAGATCTGACCTGTTGCCTACCCTACTTACTGCCTAGGTAGACTTAGGAAGTAATGAGCTCCCCATCACTGTAAATACTCAAGGACAGACTGTCTGACCTGCTCCCTAAATGTGACAGGATATTTTCACTATCCTGGAATTTGGTCCAGGAGATATCTTAAGATAATTCCAAATTTTAAATGTGGCATTTCAAGGATGGATAGACAGTTGGTAAAATTGCATTACAGAAAGTCTAACAGTAAAGAGGCCAAGACATCTCAAACCCACTGCCCAGGCTTTCTATCACCAGACACTGTCCTGAGCCTCCTAATTGCCTGCCATCCCTACCCAGATAGCAAAGCCACGGTAACATTAAAATGAACATACTTTGTTTCCCATCTCCTGATGTCACCCTGTCCCATCCCTTCCTGTCCCAGCCCTTCCTTCCCCATTAATATGGCCTAAGCCAATGCACCTACTGGGCTGGCATTACCCTGCAAGCTCTGGTCTAGGGTGTTCTCAGAGTTAAGTTTCCACTGGGAGAAGTCCAATGATCTCTGATGATACAGTATATAAGCTCACAGCTGCTAACCAAAAGGTCAGTGGTTCAAGACCACCAGCTACCTCATGGGAGAAAGATATGGCAGTCTGTTTCCATACATATTACCCCGATGGGGCAGTTCTACTCTGTCCTGTAGTTTTACTATGTTGTTAATGTTGTTGTTGTTGTTATGTGTTGTGGAGTCAGTTCCGACTCATAGCGACCCTGTACAGGGTTTCCGAAGCTGTAAATCTTTACGGGAGCAGAAAGCCTCATGTTTCTCCTGTGGAACAGCTGGTAGTTTCAAACTGCTGACCCTGAGGTTCGCAGCCTGATTCGTAACCACTACACAATGAGAGCTCCTACTAGAGCCTCGCTATAGTCAGAATCAACTTGATGGCAGTGGGTTTGGTGGTTTGGATTTAAACTAAGTCTGTGCTAGGCAGTTCCTGAAGTCTTATGTAAACTCTCAAACAAGAACTAAAGAGCCAGTTTCCATTAAGTAGATTTTAACTCGTGGTTACCACATTTATCAGAGTAGAGCTACGTCCGTAGGACTTTCAATGACTAAGACTTTCAGAAGTAGATCACCAGGCTTTTCTTGGTACCACCCATTGGATCTGAACTGTCACACTTTTGCTTAGTAACTCTCCTCTGTGCCACCCAGAGATTCCATGTAGACCTCAGAACTCAATCTCACAGTGGTTCTATAGACTTAAGATTCACCCAAATTAGTCAATCTACCACAAGGTCGGTTTGAACTGCAAGGTCAGTTGTTCAAACTCACCAGCCACTGCTCAGAAACCCTATACAGGGTCGCTCTGAGTTGGAATTGACTCAACAGCATTTAATAGCAACAGCAGTCAGCTAAACGAGTTCATCATTGTTTACTCCCCTTCCTTTCTGCTTAATTATATTTGCTTTCCCTTTCAGGAACCTTTCCAACACTGTTTATTGACCCATCTCCCCTCTCTTAGTCGTATCTTTTTTACTCCAATGTACCCTTCAATTATGTTTTTGAACTTAGAAATAGTACAAGCACAAGGCATAAGGAATATAGGGAGGCAGATTCTTCAGTCTTAGCCATCCTGCTTTTTCTCGTTATTAGTGTTTCTAAATAATTTGGTCAGAGAAATGTTCCACTACTAATAGTCACTTTCTTGTCATTATTTGTGATTCACTTGATATCTTTCCTCCAAGGAAGTTCCCTAGATAAAAAAAAAGCAATTAGGAGCAGTGGTCTGTATGTTCATTCGTTTCATGTATGTAAATAATAATCATATTAAGAGTTTGTAAGATAGTGTTAGTCTTTACAGATAATGATGGGGAAACTATTAGCCCTGTGTTCAGCATTTTTCTCTCCCTTGCTCTGTTCTAATTTACTTTGCTCCACCAGACTAACCAGCAATCAGTATGTGCATGATATGTAATCTGCTTTGTGTTTCAATAGAATTCATAGTCCGCTAGGAGAATGAATATGTTTTAAGTGTGAATTGAGTCGGAGTTTTAAGCTTAAAGCCCCTCTATTTAAACTCAGAAATAAATAAGCTACAAAGTGATTATTTGTGTCTTCTAAAAATAATTTCTGTCTTTCTTCAGGAAATATTATGGAGAGAAGATTGGAATCTATTTTGCTTGGCTGGGTTATTACACTCAGATGCTCCTCCTGGCAGCCATCGTCGGAGTAGCTTGCTTTCTCTTTGGATATTTTAATCAAGATAACTGTACATGGAGGTAACCTCTGCTTAATCCGTGATGCCATGCTGAAAAGTTGATTAGACCTAAAATTATTTTCCAGGTTCTCAGACTGTGTTAGGAAAACAAGACTCACCGCAGAACACTTATTGCTTCAGATGATTTATCTCTTTTGTTCTGAGCATAATAACTAAGTGAAATAGGGAAGAAAAAAAAAATTTTTTTTTGTCTTAGATAATCCAGCCCTGCCTCTGACAGGAATATTACCCTTCGGAAGCATTCCAACATTTTAAGGCAATACTTTTCTTTGTTTGAAAAAGAAAGGAAGGAGGTCTAGAAGGAGGAGTGTCCTTGAACTCCTGCCCCAGGAGAATGCTACAGTCAGCCCCACAGATAGGAGCCAAGGCCAACTCCCACTTCACCAGGTTTTCAGTTGCAAAACTGGTAAAACTGGTGTCGCTTTTTGTCTGCTTTTAGAAATAATTTTTTTCATGTATATGAAGAACTTGTGTTATTAAAACACTCAAATGGATACTTGTTAAACGTTTTGGGTTTTTTGTTATTTTTTTTTCTTTTTCCTTTTTGTTTTAAAAATTAGCCCTTGTCATGTTATGGGAAAAAATAAATGAGAAAGAAATTAGTGCTGGAAGTTGGAATTCAAACACCAGCTGCGCTATCTGAAGGGCAGTGCACAGATGCCAGAGCACTCGGGATGTCCCCATCGCTGGTCTGAATTGAGGAGCACTGCTGATGCAGTGGTTAAAGAGCTCAGCTGCTAACTGAAAGGTCAGAGGTTCAAATCCACCAGCAACTCCACAGGAGAAAGAGGAGTCTGTTTCCAATAAGATGACAGTATAGGAAACCCTCTAGGGCAGATCTACTTTGTCCTATAAAGTCCCTATGAGTCGGAATCAACTCAATGACAATTGGTGATTTTTTTGTTTCAGTCTGAATTGTGTTGTTCTTCCTCTGCTTTTGGTGGGTTGTCTCCAGCCAAGATGCAACACTAAACTAGGCCTCTTTCCAGGTGTGGTAGGCAGATCAAAAATCCTGACACCAGTGATGAAGCTGATAACCAAATTTTTTCAAGCTCTGAGCATATTACCTGCCTCCCAAGGCAAAACACTTACGCTACAGCCTTGATGTACTGGCGTGATTATCCGTTCTATATAACACAAGACTCGGAGCTTTTTGGTGTCATGCTATAAGTTAAGCACTCAACCATAAGGCCGGTTTGAACCACAAGGTCAGCAGTTTAAACTCACCAGCTGCTCTTTGGATACCCGATACAGAATCATTATGAGTCCGAACTGACTCTACAGCACTTAACAACCATGGCTTCTTAGCTAGAAACCTGAAGATGGTCTTTGAACTATTCTTTTCCTCATCACTATAAAAAGTGTTTAGGCCCAAAAGCTAGATGTTAATATATTGTGCCTTATTTGTCTTTGGCTTCTCCATTGTTTGTGTATTATTCCAGCGAAAAAGTGCATTGCAAAACTATACTTCTTCAAACAAACAAAAAACACTTTCAAAGTGCAAAAGTTGCATTTTTATGATGTTCCTGAGTTGTTGCTGTTTCATTAGAATTCCTTTGATAAAATCATAATGGAAGCCACATCACATATTTCCTATAATTTCATAAAGTTTAATTTATAGAAAACTGGGACACGGTTTTGGAGACACGTTCTTTGTGCTCAAAACTCTGCGCTGTTACGTAAAAGAATTTTGTTTCCATTTTAAATGTTTGTTTTATATAATTTCAGTTGATTTTTTTTTTAGCTATCGAGTACATGCATGAGGATAAAATATATACTTAAGGTGAAAGGAATAATGATCCACCACCCAACATATGAAAAAGAACACGCTTACTGTTAAACAGCAAGGAGCTCTGGTAGCGTAGTGGTTACGAATCAGGCTGCATTGAACTGCAAGGTCAGCAGTTTGAAACTACCAGCTGTTCCGGGGGAGAAAGATGAGGCTTTCCTTCTCCCGTAAAGATTTACAGCCTCAGAAACCCTATACAGGGTCGCTATTAGTCAGAACTGACTCCACAGCACACAACAACCATAACAACAACTGTTAAACAGTAGGTTAGGTTTTACTTCACTCAGATGAACCTCAGAAGGAAGGTCTGTTGATCTGTTTCTGAAAAATTAGCCACAGGCAACCCTGTGGAGCACAGTTGTACTCTTACCTACATAGGGTCACCGTGTTTCAGAATCTAATCAAGGGCAGCTGGTTTCGTCTGTTTTCTCAGTGTATATCGCCTTCCTTAATTTTTCCTTGTAAGGTTTGTGTGTGTGTGTCATTCTCCTTTTAGTCCTTACTTAAACCACCTGCAATGTTACGTAATTCTTGTTGATTATGCTCAGCAGATATCTTGGGGAAACAGCTCTCTGTAAAGAATGAACTCTGAGGCTGGTCAAATAATGACAAACACGGAGAATGGAGCTTCTCCAGGGAGCTGCCAGACAGGTCAAGTAGTGATAATTCTCTGGAGATGGGACTTTTTCAATAGCTCCAACCTCCTTTTATCCCCTCCAGTGGCTGCTTGTTGTTAAGTAGTGTTGATTTGGTTCTGACTCATAACAACCCTGCATAGAGTTTCTGAGAAGCAGCTGGTGGGTTTGAACCCTTGACCTTGTAGTTCAAACAGACCTTGTGGTCCAGTGCTTTATTTTACAGCATATATCAGGACGCTAACAGCCACTTAGGCTGCTGTTTTCCATAGCTACCTTGGTTGTAAGATTGTTGGTTTGTAAGACTACAGTGAGTGTGGGGTGATGGGAATAGAAATAGGGCTTGTTGAAATGCCACAAAGCTGGATACTCATATAAAGACAGTGTTTTTCTCTAATAAATGCTCCTCCGATCACTGCAAGTCTTGGTCCATTTCCAGAACTCTGAAAAGGCTGTTTTTTTAAATAGTTTTTGCCATTGTTCTCCTTGCTTTTATGGAATAGTGTGTTTTCAGAGACCCTTATTTGACCATTCTGGAAGTGCTTCCTGTGCCCATTTGATTTCACAGAGTTATTTTGGAATCCTGGTGTGTTGCTGTAGGTTAAGGTGCTGGACTGCAAGGTCTGTTTAAACCTCAAGGTTGGCAGTTCAAGCTCACCATCCACTCCTTGGAAACCATATACAGGGTCGCTGTGAGTTGGACCGACTCCACAGCATTTAACAACAACAACATTTACACGGACACCCAACTGGGCAGCCAAGCCCATTGATGTAGGGGCCTATATGAATGACTTCTCTTAAAATAGTTTTTTATATGTTTTGATTATTGGCACAATTTCATGGTTTTCCCATATGGATATCCCATTGTACCAGCCCCGTCTATTACTGTGCCAGCTCTGTCTTGTAGAGGTCAGCTTCTGAACTCCTTACTGTGTTCTCTCAGTCAATTTTCTTAACCTATGCCAATAAGCCTTGATCTTCAGAAGAATCTTCTCTGTTCTTAGCCTTCTGCTCTTCCATTGAATTTATAGCACAAATGGGAGGAGAACTGGCATCTTTAAGCATTGATTCTTTTGAATCATGAATGTAATATATGCATCTATTTATGTGGGTCTTCTTAAAGTCTTTCAAGGTGGTTTTATCATTCTTTCCATATAAATTGTGTACCTTTTCAGTGAGATTTATTCCTTATTGCTGTCAGGTACTGTCAAGGCTGTTCCTTCTCATAGCAACCCCACATGACAAAGTAGAACTCCTCCATCGGGAGCTCTGGTAGCATAGTGGTTACGAATCGCGCTGTGAACTGCAAAGTTAGCAGTTCGAAACTACCAGCTGCTCCGTGGGATAAAGATGAGGCTTTCTGCTCCCGTGAAGATTTACAGCCTCAGAAACCCTGTTCAGGGTCGCTATGAGTCGGAACCAACTCGACGGCACTTAACAACAACAATCTTGTATGAAAGCAGATCACCATGTCTTTCTTCTGCAGAGCAGCTGGGTAGGTTTGGTTAGCAATTAAGTGCTCAACTGTTGAACCACCAGGGCTCTTTAGGTTTGTTCCTAGGCTCATGTATTTTTTAAGGTATTATAAATAGTATCTTTTAAAAATAATTATTCTCTAATTATAGGGACACGATTCCACAGTTCCTTTTTGGATATTGGTTTTGCACCTAAGCAAGCTTACTAAACTCACAAATTCTAAACAATTCTCTGTATATTTTGTTGAGTTTTCTATGCAAACAATTGTGTCACCTGTTAGTAATAACAGTTTTCTTCTTTGCCAATATTCATATTTTGTTTTCCTTGACTTACTGTGCAGGCAACCACCTCCAGCTGAAAGGAAGTGGCAATAGAACACTTTTTCTTGTTCATGATCTAAAGTAATTACTTTTAGCACTTTGCCTTAAAGTATAATGTCTTCTAGAGAGTCTATGTAGCAAGACTTTCTCAGGTTAATGAAGTTCCCTGTTATTCCTGGCTTTCTAAGAGGTTTCGTTTTGCTTGTTATCATAAATGTGTATTGAACTTTATTATATCCAAAGTCTACTTATTTCAATTAAATGTTTTGTTTTTTGTCTTTAGCAAAGAAGTATGTAATCCTGATATAGGCGGCAAGATCATAATGTGTCCTCAGTGTGATAGGCTTTGTCCATTTTGGAAACTCAACATTACTTGTGAATCCTCAAAGGTAATTTTATTTTGTTATTCCAAATATTTCCTTATGATGAAAGAAATTGAGTTAAATAAAATAGTTTTATTACAATATAGAAATTATATTGTACTGAGAAATTCAGAATAATATTTTTCAACTAAGCCCAATTAAAATATTATGAGAAGGTATGGAATGCATGGGGTTTTCCTTGTTTACAAATAATAAACTTTGTCTAAAGTCTCCTGGGGTGGTGGGGAGTCAATGTGCAACTCTTTGAGCATTTCAAATAATCATTGCAGAAACTTCTAACCTGGCTTACTTCTTAAATGCTTTTTAAAGGTTTACCATTGTAAGTATTTTTCTTAATTCGAGTGAGTAGGAACCTGAAAGTTATACTTGAATTAGCCTCCTTTCAAGTGTATTATGAATTGAGTGAAGGTTTACAGATATCATTAATTTTACATTCAACAAATTACATTACACTTTCATCTCAATGATTGCTACCCCCTCCGTGGAATAGCAGTTATCTACCTTCTTCCCTCCTTCCCATCCCTTCTCGATGTTATCCTTAGGTAAATATTGTCCTTTTGATCTTGAATGGTTGACCATTCATGGTGAACATTCTTTGCTAGTGTTGGTGCCTATCTACTGCTTGATGGAAATTTGGGCCACTAGGGTGAGTTCCATTCCAGACTGGAAAGGTGGCCAATGGCCATAGTCTTGGGTTCCTCCAGTCTCTTTCTGACCATTAAGCCCAGTCTTTTTATATAAATTTGAGTTTTGTTTTACATTTTCTCCCACTCTATCCAGGACCTTCTAATGTGATCCCTTTCAGAGCATTTGGTAGTAGTAGCTGGGCACCATCTAGTTCTTCTGGTCTCACAGTCATAGTGACTAATGTTCACATGTCCATTGGACTCCAAGCATCTTCAGTTTGCATCATTCTTTCTTCCACACGTAGAGAGACCAATAATTGTACCTAGATGTCCACTCATAAGCTTTTAAGATCCCAGTAACTGCTGACCAAAGTAAGATGCAGAACATTATCTTTATTATGCCAATTGACCATAATGTCCCCTGAGACTATGGTCCAGAACCCCCAGACCCAGAAACTAATTACCTTAAGATATTTGGTACTACCTAAGAAGTTTACAACATTTTGTCCCCTGTGCACTCTACTATGGAGTTCTGTGTGGTGCTGTAGGGTAAGCACTGGACTGCTAACTGCAAAGTTGGTGGCTCAAACCCTCCAGCTACTCCTTCAAAACCCTATATAGGAGTGCTATAAGTTGAAACTGACTCAAGGACACTTAACAACAACATGCGCCATCACATTCATAGTTGTTTTTGCATATACTTGCATTTTTAAAGCCCCCAAATCACTTGTCAGATAAAGACTGTATCTATAAATCTGTAAAAGAAAGATTTTGTATGAAAGTGATGGCAGATATCCACTTTGTCCCAAACATTCCCACAGGACATATCTAGCTCTTCATACACATAGTCGATCTTCACCTCTATGACTTCTTACAATCCAAGAAATTAGGAGACTGGAAGGAGTTTACTGACTAACAAGCAGGTCAGAAACTAAATAGGTAGAAAGATGATCTGCTTATTTCTAAGAGTTTTCCTGATAAATGTGATGTACTATTATATCCTCATCATATTCATCTCTCTATGCCATTGTTCGGCCATGAATGTTTAGAAAATGCTCGTATGTCCTCAGAATATTCTAATTCACTCCATGTAAATTAAAGAGATTGTAATTGAACGTAGTGCTGTGGTTGTGATGCCACTTTTGTTTTGTGATTTGCAAAGTGCTTATATTTTCACTTTTGACACACACACAGCAGTCCTATAAGATAGGCAAAATGGGCATTATATCCATTTTACAGAACACACTGAGGACTTGAGAGATTAAACACTTTGCTCAAGCTCACCCACCTGGTGACTGGTAAGGTCAGAAATGAATTGACAGCAAATTGGCAATTCTGGCCAATACTATGGTCTTCATGGGACATTTTACCTGTGAGGCTGATGGTGGCCCTCCACACTATACTCTTGCATCCAGCTCTATGTTAGAAAAATTGTTCTGCCAATTAATAAAAAATGATTGCAGGATGTTGTCAACACATGGATTTGTAAACATAATTTGTAAATTAGATGTGTTGTTGTTGTTAGGTGCAATCAAGTTGATTTCAACTCAAACCGACCCATTATAATAGAATAGAAGTGCCCCATAGCATGTTCTAGGCTGTAATCTTCATTGCAGCAAATTGCCAGGTCTTCCTCCCTTGGATCCTCCTGGTTAACAGCTAGGCACTTAATCATATTACTCCCCCCAAGCAAACAAAAGCATAACTCTGTAAGTATGTCATAGATCATACATGGTAAATGACTAGACATTAATAATGAGGGAAGCTACCTTCCAAAGACATGGATTCCTACATTAAAGTCTCTAGTTATACAAAGGAGCCCTAGTGGCACCATGTGATAAGCACTGAGCTGCTAAACAAAAGAGCGATGGTTCAAACCCACCAGCCACTCCATGAGAGAACGATGGTACTATCTTGCTCTTGTAAAGATTTACAGTCTCAGAAATCCTATATAAAGTTACTATGAGTTGGAATCAACTTGATGGCCACAGGGCTTTGGGTTGCTATTTTTTGTTTTTCCTTTTTCAGGTTTGAGATAGCAGATATCCAAGGGGCCTTCAGAAAATTCATGGAAAAATTCCATTATCTTTTAATTCCATTTTCCATGGACTTTTTGAAGCCCCTAATTACAAGGAGCCCTGGTGGTACAGTGGTTAAGTACTTGACTGCTAATTGATAGTTCAAACCCACCAGCTGCTCCACAAGAGACAGATGTAGTCTGCTTTCATAAAACTACAGTTCTACTCTGTCCGAGAGAATCACTATGGGTCAGAATGGACTCAACAGTAACAGATAAATGGGTACTTACCACACATCCCAAGACACTAGATTTATGGCAAATGCCAAAGACAATATCAGTGCAAATTGTACTCTGTACAAATATAAGTAAAAATTCAAATTTCCTTAAAAAGTCCCCTCCCTCTCCACACCCCGACCTCTTTTCTTTCCTTCTGCTTCCACCTACCCATCTCAAAGTACATGGTATTCAAATATATCCCTGTGTACATCGGTATTTTTTCTTCTTATTATTATTTTCACTATATTTTGGAAAAACGAAGTAAGTTTGATTCTATTCCAGTTTCCTGAAGGATCCCTTGAGTGTTGTCAGAGTGATTTATAGAAGGGATAGAATATATAAAAGGAGGAAATGGGGGGCAAAAAAAGGCTAGAAAAGGAACAAAAACATTTTTCCATATTTTTCTATTTGCTAATAACTAACTTTAACTTTTTTTTTTTTAATCCATGCATTTGTTTACATTTTAATTTTTGCTTCCTTCTTTTGGAACAAGATGGCTATTTCCCTAAAGGACATATATGCTGAGAGGTTTAACAAAATAGGAATAAAATCAGGACCAAGAAACAAAGTGTGTAAATAATAGAGATTAGTACTGTTTTTGTGATTAGATTTTATGACTAAGGTTCTTAGCATTCTGACTGACAAGAAATTTCTTTACATTTGAAATGCTAATTTTCATCACTTGTAGCTTCTTTATCTTCCCATCCCCTAACTTTGCTTTGAATATGGTTGCCACTTTTCCAATAGACTTTATGGATTTTTACAAGATATAAAAATGGTCACTAGGTTGTCATACTGTGGTGGCTTGTGAGTTGCTATGAATCTGAAAGCTACGCCACCAGTATTTAAAATACCACCAGGGTCACCAAGGTGGACAGGTTTCAGATGAGATTCCAGATAAAGACAGACTAGGAAGAAGGACTGACGAACTACTTCCGAATATTTAGTCACTGAAAACCTTATGAATAGCAGAGAAACACTGTCAGATATAGTGCTGGACAATGAGCCCCTCAGGTTAAAAGGCACTCAAAATGCGACTGGGGAAGAGCTGCTTCGTCAAAGTAGAGTTGACCATGATGACATAAAGCCCGTGGGGAAAACCCCACGGGACCTTTATTTGCTGATGGCGCACAACTCAAAATGAAGAGAAACAGCTGTAAACATCCGCTGAAATCGGAACATGGAATGTACAAAGTATGATTCTGGGAAAATTGGAAGTTGTCAAAAGTGAAATGGAATGCATAAACATCAATATCTTAGGCATTAGTGAGTTGAAGAGGAAAGGTGTTGCATTCATTGTCAAAAAGAACATATCCAGATCAGTCATGAGGTACAATGCTGTCTGTGATAGGATAATATCCATACGCCTACAGGGAAGCCCAGTTAATACCACTATTATTCAAATTTATGCACCAACCACTAAAGCCAGTGAGGATGAAATAGAAGAATTCTTCAATCTGAAATCGGTCAAACATGCAATCAAGATGTATTGCTCATTACTAGTGATTGGAATGCAAAGGTTGGGAGCAAAGAGGAAGGACCAGTAGTTGGAAAATATGGCCTTAGTGATAGAAATGATGCTGGAGAATGCAGGATAGAATTCTGCAAAACCAATGACTTGTTTATTTCAAATACCTTCTTTAGACAGCATAATAGACAAATATACACATGGAACTCACCAAATGGAATACATAGAAATTAAATTGACTATATCTGCGGAAAGAGACAATGGAAAAGTTCGCTATCATCAGTCAAAACAAGGCCAGGGGCAGACTGTAGAACAGACCATCAATTACTCATATGCAAATTCAACCTGAAGCTGAAGAAAATGAAAACAAGTCCCCAAGAGCCAAAATATGACCTTGAATATAGAGATTTAGGGATTATTTAATTTAGAGATTATCTGAAGAACAAATTTGATATATTAAACATTAAGGACCGACCCAAAGACCAGAAGAGTTGTAGGATGACATCAAGAACATCATACATGAAGAAAGCCAAAAGTCATTAAGAAGACAAAAAAGAAGGAAAACATCAAAATGGATGTCAGAAGAGACACTGAAACTTGCTCTCCAGTGTAGAGATGCTAAAGCAAACAGCAGAAATGAGGAGATACAAGAGCTGAACAGAAAATTTTGAAGATCCACTCGAGAAGATAAAGCCAAATATTACAACAAGATGTGCAAAGATCTGGAGTCAGAAAACCAAAAAGGAAGAACACACTCAGCGTTTCTCAAGCGAGGGGAGCTGAAGAAAAAATTCAAGCCTTGACTTTGTTATTGAAGGATTCTCTGGGCAAATTATTGAATGATGCAGAAAGCACCAAAAGAAAATGGAAGAAATACACAGTCACTGTACGAAAAGGAAATGGTTAATGTTCAGCCATTTCAAGATGTAGCATATGCTCAAGAACCAATGATACTGAAGGAGGAAGTCCAAGGTGCATTGAAGAAATTGGCAAAGAATAAGGCACCAGGAATGGATAGAATACAACTTGAAATCTTTGAAGAAAGTGAGGCAGTACAGGAGGCACTCACTGATCTCTGCCAAGAAATTTGGAAGACAACTATCTGGCCAACTGATTGGAAGAGATCCATATTTGTGCCCATTCCAAAGAGATGTGACCCAACAGAATGTGGAAATCATTGGACAGTCTCTTTGATATCCTATGTGGATAAAATTTTACTAAAGGCAGTGCAAAAATGTCTGCAAGCATACATTGATAGAGAACTTCCAGAGGTTCAAGCCGGATTCAGAAGAGGACGTGGAAGGATATCATTGCTGATGTCTGATGGATCTTGGCTGAAAGCAGAGAATATCAATAAGATGTTTACCTGTATCTCATTGACTACGCAAAGGCTTTTGATTGTGTGGATCATGACAAGCTATGGACAACATTGCAAAGTATGAGTATTCCAGAACACTTAATTGTGGTCATGAGGAATCTGTACCTGGACCAAGAGGCAGTTGTTCAAACAGAACATGGGAACACTGAATGGTTTAAAATTTAAAAAAGGTGTGCAACAAGGTTGTATTCTTTTACCATACTTATTCAACCTGTATGCTGAGCAAATAATCCGAGAAGCTGGGTTCCATGCAGAAAAACGAGGCATCAGGATTGGAGGAAGACTGATTAACAACCTGCGATATACAGATGATACATCCTTGCTTGCTGAAAGTGAAAAGGACTTAGAGCATTTACTGATGACGATCAAAGAGCACAGCCTTTGGTGTGGATTATATCTCAATGTAAAGAAAACAAAAATCCTCACCACTGGACCAATAAACAGCATTCTTATCAATGGAGAAAAGATTGACTTTGTCACGGACTTCCTTCTTTTGGATCAACTATCAACACTAATGGAAGCAGCAATCAAGAAATCAAAGGATGTATTGCATTAGGCAAATCTACTGCACAAAACCTTTTTAAAGTGTTGAAAAGCAAAGATGTCAGCTTGAAGAGTAAGGTGTGCCTGACCTAAGCCGTGGTATTTTCAATAACCTCATATACATGCAAAAACTGGACATTGAATAAGGAAGACCATAGAAGAATTGATGCATTTGAGTTATGGTGTTAGAGGAGAATATTGAAAGTGCCCTGGGCTGCCAAAAGAACCAATAGATCTGTTCTGGATGAAGTGCAATCAGATTACTCCTTGAAGGCCAAGATGCCCAAAATTTGTCTCTCATACTTTGGATGTATTGTCAGGAGGGACCAGTCACTGGAGAAGGATATTATGTTTGGTAAGGTGGAGGGTCAGAGAAAAAGAGGAAGAGCCCTAAAGAGGTGGATTGGACAAGTGGCGGCATCGATGGACTCAAACGTGGCAACAGTAATGAGGTTGGCCCAGGATCAGGCAGTGTTTTGTTCCACTGCGCATAAGGTCGCTATGAGTCGTTACCGACTCAATGGCACCTAACAACAACAACAGTGAAAAATAGTAATGAATCGAAAGACTGCTAAGGATGTCATGGAGGGAGATAAGCTATTTAGATACTAGCAAATATATTGACCTTATCAGAACTAGTGAGTAGACCCTTCTTTGCCGTAGTATATAAAGAACTCTGGTAATGTAGTGGTTACGAATCAGGCTGTGAACCTTAAGGTCAGCAGTTCGAAACTACCAGCTTCTCCGCAGTAGAAAGATGAGGCTTTCTGCTCCCGTAAAGATTTATAGCCTCGGAAACCCTGTACAGGGTCGCTATGAGTCGGAACCAACTCCACAGCACATAACAACAACAACAACAATTGTTTCTTAATTCATTATCTATGTACTCATTTTAATGAACGCAAAAGCACCTATACTAATGGAATTATTTGCCAGTGACAAATGCCAGTGATAATAAAACACCCGTCATTGGGTTTCAGGAAATAGCATTCCTATAAGTTTGCTTTTAGGGAAAAACCATCTAAGGATAAATCTAAGCTTTGTCTTCTCTTAATGAAAAAATTGGGTGTGGGGGGAATTCTTCAATTTATTGCCTGTTTGATACCATGATAAGATACAAATAATAGTTCAAAAGTTACTCAGAGATCACTGAACATATAAGGCCATAGTCCTTCCTCAGATATCTTTATGACAGGTTTTAAAGGTAGGCTTTTTATTCAGAAGCCTGATACTGGCTTTCAGCTCAGTGCTGTCTTAGCAGCTATACCAGTACTAGTAGGAGTTACCATCAAGTTGACCTTACCTCATAATGGCCCCATGTGCTTCAGAGTAGAACTTTGCTTCATAGGGTTTTCAGGGTTTTTTTTGGAAGAACATCACCAGATCTTTCTTCTAAAGAGCCTCTGAGTGAACTTGATCTCTTCAACCCTTTAGTTAGCAGCCAAGTGTGTTTGTACCACCTAATAACTTGTAGACACTATACCTATGGCTTTATCTGATATGGAATGATTCTGTTGGAAAAGACATTCTGTTACATATAGTATAGGTTTGTGTTTTTAAAAAAAACACACAGACTCCAAAAAAATCCCATCTATGAATATGTGGTTGGTGTGGTGATTTTCCACTAGTGTCAGCTTTAAGGAGAACACCTGACATATATTGGAGTTATGACAAATTATACTTAAAAACCTAAAGCTTTTAAAAATGATTTTTGTGTTTTTTCATATATGCTGGTATGGTGCTGTGAGTTAATGCACTGGACTGCAAAGTCAGATTGAACCGCAAGGTCTGAGGTTCAAGCTCACCAGCTGCTCACAGGAAGCCCTATGCAGGGCCGCTATGGGTCGAAACCGACTCAGTGGCACTTAACAACAACAATGTATGTATTAAAATGGAGTCCTTGTGTGGCACTGAACTGTTAACCACAAGGTCAGTTGTTCAGAGTCACCATTCACTCCTCAAAAACCCTATACAAGGTCACTATGAGTCAGAACCGACTCGACAGCACTTAAGAGCAACATGTATTAAATTGTATCTGTAAATTTATATGTAATGTTTCAAACCGTCAAAGACAAATATTGGTTCATAAAGATACTGATAATAAAAGGCAGTTATAAAGAAAACTTTTTTTTTTTTAAATGAATTACTTAACTTACATCAGAACTGACTTGTGACGGAGTTGTAAGCACAGAACTTTGTCATAAGGTTCTACCTGTATCTTTAGACTGTAGAATACACAGAACATTACATATTTGCTAAATTATAATGGAGAACATCTATTTATTTACATGTCATTATATTTTACAGAAATTATGTATCTTTGACAGTTTTGGGACCCTCGTTTTTGCAGTATTTATGGGAGTATGGGGTAAGTTATATTCATTTTATTCAGCTTTCTTATGAAATTTGCCTCTTAACGTAAAATTAAATGTAAGATCATACATGAACCCAATTTAATTGTATTATATAGTTTCATAGAGTCTATCAAAATAATCCACTTTTAGAACTTTGGATTTCCCAGTCTTTGGCACTCCTAAACTTTACAATCCTGAGACTATCATATCTGTTAGCTTCTACTTCATAAAAAAAACTACCCCAAAGTGTAGTGGCTTCAAGCTGCAAGCATTTATTATGTTTCATGGTTCTCTGGGTCAAATGGGAACTTCTTCATGTGTGGATTAGCTCAGCTGGTATCTGTAGTGGACTGGCAGATCAAATGGGGTTATATGGTCTGGTAGTTCACAAGCTGGGTTGATCTATGGGCTCTCAGCTGAAATGACTTGTCTCTACTCCACGTGGTCTCTTATCTGCCAAGCCCCAAATTTTTTACTTGGTAGTTTCAGGGTTCCAAAGATGCAAAAGAGGGCAAGGCCTACTGTGCAGTCCTGGTACAGCACTGAGGGTTAATGTGCTGGACTTTAAAACCGGTTTGAACCACAAGGTCAGTGGTTCAAGCTCACCAGCCACTCCTCAGAGACCCTACACAGGGTCTTTATAGGTCAGAACCAATTCGACGGTACTTAACAACAGCAACAACATGACTGCATCCAGTTTCTTAATGTCCCATTGACCAAAGCAAACTATATGTGTAAACTAGTATCAGTGCAGGGAGGTGGAAGGACTACTCAAACTTGGATTCAGGGTTAGTATGGGTGGTCCTTGATGATCCTTACAATGACATCTGTCTTCCCTTGCCTGTTTGTGTGTGAATATATGTTCACGATGCTCTTATTATAACTCTGAAGTGATTAGGTTCAGGATCCATTTTACACTGGCTGGTTGTGGTGCTTACGTACTGTGGAATTGGTTACTGTATAGGATTTCTGAGACTATAAATCTTTATGGGAGCAGAAAGCCTCATCTTTCTTCTGTGGAGTGACTGGTAGATTTGAACTACTGACATTTCAGTTAGCAGCCCAACTTGTAATCCACTACACTTCCAGTATTCCTTATCCTATACTGCTTGTTTGCATTTCATTATGGACAATAATCCAATCTGCTCAGGACCAAATGAGTTCACATGATGGAATCCTAGTGGCCATATGACCATGACTTCAATATTTATTTGGGAGAAGACCCAATTCAGTTCATAATGGAGGGGAAGCAGCAACACAGGGATTACTTGTGCGCGTTCTTCTTTTGTATGAGTAAATATTTCATAAATAATAAATAAAATACTACTCTTTTACTGACTCCCCAGGTGGCACAAATAGTTAAGTACTCAGCTACTAACCAAAGGTTGAGTTTGGGCCCATTCAGAAAGACCTGTTTTCAAAAGGCTATAGCCACTGAAAGCCCCATGGAGCATAGCTCTACCTGTAACATAGGGGCTCACCATGAGTTGGAATCAACGGGTAGCTGGTCTGGTTTGTTTTTCACTCTCTTACTAATAATGCTGTTGTTAACTACCACTGAGTCATTAAGTACTGTTGAATCAGTTCCAACTGATAGCAACTTTGAATAGGATTTTCAAGGAGTGGCTATTGAGTTTGAACTGCTGACCTTGCTGTTCAAACCCACCTAGCCATCCAGTGTTTTATCCTAACAGCGCCACACCAGGACACCTTTACTAATAACAACAAAAAGTATTTAATAAGCAGAACAGATGTCATTCTAAAGAATGTAATTCTTACGTAGGAGCTTTAGCATCTATTATTTACTTTAAATAGCATCATTAATACAAGGCAACTATAGTTTTTCTTTAAGTGCAGACTTTTAAATGTTTAATTCATATAAATGTTCTACCATAAATGAAAAAAAACTCTTATTTTCAAAAGTGAAGACATTTCCAGTTTCATTGTGTAAGTAAAAGGGAAAATAAAGTTCAAGTTCCAAGAAAGTGAGGAAAGAAATAGAGCCAGCTGAGTCTTATTCTTAGGGGGACACACATATCCACACATGCTACCTAAAGAAGTCATTATTTACAGATATCTGTGGCACTGTTTCTCTTGGCCGTGGTTGTATCTATGAAGGTCACCAAATAGATCACAGAACAGGCAATCCAATGACTGTGGATACTTTTCAGAGATATTAGTTGCCACTTCTGAATAAAGTGTTGGAGCTCTGGTAGCGTAGTGGTTACGAATCGGGCTGTGAACCTCAAGGTCAGCAGTTCGAAACTACCAGCGGTTCTGCGGGAGAAAGAAGAGGCGTTCTGCTCCCGTAAAGATTTACAGCCTCGGAAACCCTGTGCAGGGTCGCTATGAGTCGGAACCGACTCCACAGCACTTAACAACAACAACATTGTTGTGAGTTGCTGTCCAGCCAATTTCAACTCGTAGCAACCGCATGCAACACAGCTGGACGGTTCTTTGGGGTTTTCTTAGCTCTAATCTTTATGGGAGCAGATAACCAGCTCTTTCTCCTGAAGAGCTACCAGGAGAGTTTCAACCCCCAACCTTTCGTTTAGTAGTCAAGTGTTTAACGTCTTGAACCACCAGGACTCCTTAGTGTCAACTGCAAGATGGCCAGAATTATGCAGTAAGTTGCATTGCCTTCAGCCATTTAGCATATTTGCCTGGAGAGTGAACACTGACTAAAATTTGACGCATTGTTTTTATGTGCCATGGAGTCGGTTCCGACTCATAGTGACCCTGTATAGGGTTTCCGAGGCTGTAAATCTTTATGGGGCAGAAAGCCTCATCTTTCTCCCATGGAACAGCTGGTAGTTTCGAGCTGCTGACCCTGAAGTTAGCAGCCCAATTCATAACCACTACACTAGAAAAATAAAAATCAAATTCTTGTAATTAACATCCTCAGTATTCCTCCCTTGTAAGATACATTATTTTTTTCCAGTAAAAGCATATGTGCTGAATACGTGTGTCAGCACCTTAAACTATTGTCTTACCCTTTGTCTCAGCGCAGATTGGTAATTAATAAAAATGATCCCATCTATTGAACTCCATATACTAATGGACTCTGATCATTCTAATTAAGACAGACATTTAAGTCGAGGAGAGAGAAGAAGTTTCACACCAGCAAGACCAACTTCAGCTCTCCTAACTAACCCTGCTGTCTTTGAGCCCTTAACGGCATCATGTCGATGGAACTGACTTAGACATCAGACTGCTCATTTTACTTCATCAGATTTTAGAATGCAGAAAACATGTCAACACTGCTGGCAGCATTGCATGTGTATTTTAAAGCATAAGTATGTACGACGAACTCTTTATTTTGAGTACTTTATAGCTCTGTCCTTGTTACCTCTGCTCTATGAAAACTTCTGCTGTGAACGTCACTACAGGAAGTCTGAAATGGCAACACTGAGCAGGCAGTGGGTTCACGTAGTTATTCGTGTCGCCACCATCATGTTCCAGTAGCATCTTTGTGTCCAGATCTGTATGGCACTAGCGTATTTTTTCTGTTCCCTAGGGATTATAAAAGTTCAGGGCAGAAACCTCTTATAGTCAATGTAACATAAATCATATACTTACCTGAAAAATGTGACCTTTCTGACCAAGCCAGCCCACACATTCATAGTGGCCCATGATGTCCTAAAGGTGTGGAACACATTTCCTTTCTCTCAATTCCTTCATTCTTCTGACCTATTTTTACATGAGTTTTCTTCACTCTAACCTTAAATTTTCATCTTTTCTTTTGCCAGCGTTTATTTTTCCTACTAATTCTGACTTTGGCCATTCTTGTAACTCCCAGATATCCTATCATCCTATCATGTGGTCACCAAGAATCCATATTCCCATCCCATCCAGCCTCAAAGCTGATTACAACCATGGTTGACCCTCCCACTTTCCCTTCCACTCACCACCCACTGAATATATGATTGGGGGGACAGTGCACAACGAACACAGAAGGAGAAAGAAGATGCTCCTCTGAACAGGAACGGCAGTCAGCCCTATTGACCAGAGGTCTGACAGGCCAGCGTGCCAAAGTCTCTCACACCAGTTTCTCACTCAAGTTGTTTGTGTTGCGGGGTTGTGGGATAAAGAATTGAACTACCCTCAAAGAATACTGTCTTTGTCCTTGGTTTCTGAGAGATAATCTCTAAAACCTTGGAATGTCCTTAGTGATAAGAAGTGTCTGTGGAGGGTCCATGCTATTCCTGAGAGTTCTGCTAATGAAGTGACTCAGGTTAGGGCTGGCCAGGCCAGAAAGACCCACCCAGTGATATCAGCTGACCTCTGTCTGGAGAACTGATTCAACCAATTATACCTATGTAATGAGATCCCAATAAAGGCTCTGCACATGAAAGTTCCCTGGGCTTCTTGGTTCATGATCCATATCATGCACAAGAGAAGGAAACATGTCCTTTACTGGACCATGGAAACTCTGCATTGGTGATCTTCCCAAACCTTACCTATTCATCTCTTAATGTGTACCCTTTTGCTATAATAAAACTGCAATCATAAATGACTAAATTGTATACCCAAAGTTATATGTTATAAATCCTAACCACTATGCCTATGGTTGGACTCCTGATGTGATGCTGTAGGATAAGCACTGGCCTGCTAACTGCAAGGTCAGCAGTTCAAACCCACCAGTCACTCCTAGGAGACGCTATGGGTCAGAACCAACTCGATGGCACTTCACTAAAACTGGGAGAAAATAAATTTTTGTTTGGTCAAGCCACCCATTAGTGGTATCTCTGTTATCACAGAACTGGACAATAAAGACAGAATTTGGTACCTACAGTGTAGAAGTGGTTTTGCAATTGGGTAATCGTGAAGTCCTAATGTGGCACTTTGCGTAGTGGTTACGAATCGGGCTGCGAACCTTAAGGCCAGCAGTTCGAAACTACCAGCCGCTACGCGGGAGAAAGATGAGGCATTCTGCTCCCGTAAAGATTTACAGCCTCGGGAACCCTGTACACAGGGTCGCTATGGGTCGGAACCGACTCGGCGGCACTTAGCA